TACGCAGTTGCAACTGCTGGTATCCTGTGGACTAGGATACACTGTACCGAAGCAGGAGTTCACTATTTATCTCCAATCTCCGCTGCAAAGTCCCTCCTCTGTTTACTAATTGGGTGAGTACTCCAGAGTATACAACTTTCCGGTATGCCCATTACACATCTACCCCATTATGTCTTCCTTCCTTCTACATACATCACATGTTCAGAAAATGGCATCTTAGTCCCCCCAGAAGTAGAGAAGTTAAACAAGATGAGACTGGCTTTATCCCATTTTACTTTGTTACTTTTATCGATTGTTTCAATTTTACAGAACCTTTTATTCTACTTTAACAGCAAAACAAGATAAGACCAGCTCTATTCTATTTTACTTAGTTACTTTTCTAGCTGTTTGCTCCAAATTTATGGAACCAAACATTTTCATTCTCTCTCTCAGTTTCTCCCTTTCTCTTTCAATGTGGGTTTTGTTTCCATAGTTTATTTTCCTTTTTAGCCCTTAAAATTTTCAAAAAGTTTTAAACATTCTTTCTCCTCCCTTTCTTCTCTAGACTGAGTTTTCATTTTTACTACCGTAATTGAGACATCTTGCTTTGTCAAGGAATCAAGCAAGGTATAAATAATAATCCCCCTAATCTTAACAGAGTTATCATTCCAAGCTGCTTCCACCATGACCCTGTCAGCCAATTAAAGCAGTTTGAGTCAAACCATCCTTTCCACTTTTATACTGGCCCATGTGCAACTTTACAACTTTTTGTAGCCCAATTTTTAACTATTTGCCCATTATTGTCAATTTGTAGACAGCAATTACTCATATTGAATTTTCCACAAACTCCCCCTTCTTTTGCCAGAAGATAACCTACTACTAATCTATATGGATGCACAACTGCCCATAATCTGGGTGGCTTGATTGGCAAGAAGTTCTAAAGCTTGTGTGGTTTGGTTAGTTGTAAGTTCTACCACTGCCTGGAGCCTAATTAATCTATTGAGGAGATAGAAGGGAGTTCTCTATCCCCAGCTCCCATCTTGGGCCCAATTCACTGGCCCATAAGTTTGAATTATTCTTTCAGGTGGCCATTCACTCCCCCAAACATTGGCATGTCTGGATTGGGTAATGCTGGTATAAGGTTCTTTTCTGTCTTTGGAAATCATCATATAATGGGATCCCAAAGTCATGCCCCTTTGGTCCTTCTAAAAAGAAAAAGCTTGATCTTACTAATACTGTATAACATACTCCTATCCAGTTAAATGGTAGGTGGGTGTAACTACAATCCCTACTAGATGTGCCATCTCCAGAGGAGCAGGAGAGCAGATACCATTGGGCTACTTAATAGGTGTACTATTCCACTGATCTCTATACTTTGTGCAATTCATGGGGCAACCACTTTCTCCTCTATAATCCTCTTCCCAGGAGTAGGTCTTCTCACAGCCACTTTCTCCCAAGTGCCTGCCTGCTCCTGTTTGGTTCAGGCAATATTATCCTCAAACACTCCTAGCCAAGGGCCAAGTATATTTTTCTGCTTGGTCCCCGAAACCAGTGCCATTCTTTACCTCTGACCAGTTACTGAGTATCCAGGCCGGATTCAGAGGTAAAGGGTAGCATGGACACAATTCTGCTGCTTTAGGACCTCCATAGACCCAACAGCTGCTCAGGTTGAAAGCATTAGCCACTATTTCAGCTAGCTGTAAAAAGGCATTAGGAGCAATGGGAAGAGGCACAGGATGGGCCTTACCAGGGAATATTAGGACTGTTATCACTATGTATAACAATGGAAGCATTTGCTGTGGTTCTGCCATACTTCTCTTAGGGAATATAGCCGTTCTTATAATTCCTAATAGTACACACACAGGAGCCCTACGCTTGTCATCCCTAACTAGCTCCTTCAATAAAGGGATCCCTTCTCTAGGTTTCTCGCAAGTGGCCACCAAGAATATTACTACAAGTATAACAAACAACATTGTAAGTGCAAGAATGATCAATTCAAGGTCTTTTGACGTCCCATTCCTTCCCAGATCAGGGCAACTTTGAACAGTCCATTCCCGGGGTTCATCTACTGGTCTCCTTTGATTCTGGCATAATGTGTCCACTCCCTTTCAGCTGTCTGGATTGCTATTTCCATGGTCAGCAACACTTGGTAGGAGCCTTCCCAGTCAGGCTGAAGTTTGGTCTCCTTCCAGGATTTGAGGAGTACCCAATCCCCTGGTTTGTACTTAGGCACCATGAATTTCAATGGTGGAGTCAGAGCCAAAAGTCCTTTCTTCTTCAAATCTGAAAATACAGTGGATAGCGCCAGTACATAGTTCCTCAAAAATCTATCTTTTGTCTCAAAAGTAGGGATGTCTCCCTGCCCTCCTGGATAAGGTAACTTAAACATTTCATAAGGTGATACACCCCGATCTTTCCAGGGTGAAGTCCTAATTCTTATTAAAGCCATTGGCAGGCATTTAATCCAGGCCAATTTTGTTTCTAATGTTAATTTGGAAATGTGTTTTTTTAAGAGTCTGATTCATCCTTTCCACCTTCCTGGATGAGGGAGGGTGCCAAGGGGAGTGAAATTCCCAATTCATTTCCAAATAATCCATTATTTGCTATAAAATTTGGGATGTAAAATGACTACCATTATCTGATTCTATGTTTTCTACTAAACCATATCGTGGAATTGCATGTTCCAAAAGTATTTTAGATACTCCAGCTGCTGTAGCATTAGGCAAAGGATAAGTTTCGACCCATCCAGTTAAATGATATTTTCTCAAAACTAGATCAGACATTGCTTGCACTCCCCAGTGACTTCCTTGATGTAGAATTGATAAAATTTCTCTCATGATTTGTTTATTAACCATTTCTCTCCCATCTGGTCATAACCAACAGCCTTGCTTAGTTTCAATCACCCCAAATTTAATCAAATCTTTCTTTTCCACTTCCGTAAACACAGAGATCACTTTTGTCTCAAGGACTTGGGGAATTAACACATGCATTTTTGTAGGTTCCATGGACAAGGCGGTTCCTTAGCCTTCTCGTCTGCTAGTCTGTTCCCCTTTGCTTCAAATATTCCTTCTTTTTGGTGGTCATTCACATATACTATGGCAATTTCATTTGGTAACAATAAGTTGGCTAGTTCCTGCTTTACCAATTTTTCATGTATTAATTCCTTCCCTTTGCTGTTTATCATTCCCCTTTCATACCAAATTTTTCCAAATGTATGAACTACCCCATAAGCATACTTGGGAGTCTGTATATATAGTACCCTCCTTTCCTTTCAACAACTTTAGAGCTTGATTGAGGGCACATAATTCACAAGTTTGAGCTGACCAGCTATTAGGTAACCTATCAGATTCCTCTAAAGAATTACTTTCACTATCAATGACAGCATACTCTTTATGTCTTTTTCCCTCTATTACTCTGGAAGATCCATCAGTGAAAAGACGACACCCCTCACGGAGTGGGATGTCTCTCAAATTTGTACATATGCCTGTTTGATATTCTGTGATGTCAAGGCAATTATGTTTCAAATTTCATATTCTGTCTCTCCTTTTTGAAGGAAAGAGGCAGGATTGATACAAGATTCAGTCACTAATACCAAATCATCCTTTTCCACATATTGTAATTTCTTTTTTGACACGCTAAGTAAGACCTTTCTTCCTGAGGAAATTTAGTAAAGCATTTGTTGCTTCCAATATATTTTTCTTTTCTCCTGATATCAGTAGATCATCTATATATAGCAGTAAAGTGGTTCCTTTTAGCACTGGAAATTTTTCTAATAATTGCTCCAAAACCTGCCCAAATAAATTTGAGGATTCTGTAAATCTTTGAGGTAGAACAGTCCGCCTAAATTGTTGTTTTCTTCCTGTAAGGGGATTCTCCCATTCCAAGGCAAATAAAGCATTCTTCCTGGTGCAGAATTTTTCCCATGATGGTATAAGGATTCAGGACCCTGTATATCTTACTGAAACTATCTTATTAACAGCCCATAGGTCCTGGACTAAATGATGAGACCCTTCTGGCTTATAGACTGGTAAAATGGGAGTGCTGTATGGAGCCATGCAAGATTCCAATAACCCGTCCCTCAATAACCGGCCATAGTCCCTTCCATGGGAATGGGGTATTACCTCACTCGTACTACTTCACCTTCTTTCTTCAGGGTACATTCAGCCATTTCCCAATTGATGGGCATTCCCTCAGTTTCCAATTCTTTGCCACCACAAAAAGAACTGCTATAAATATTTTTGTACATGTGGGTCCTTTTCCCATTTGTATGATCTCTTTGGGATAAGCCCTAGAAGTGCTATTGCTGGGTCAAAGAGTATGCACATTTTTATAGCCATTGGGCATAGTTTCAAATTGCTCTCCAAAATGGTTGGATCATTTCACAACTCCACCAACAATGCATTAGTGTTCTAATTTTCCCACATCTTCTCCAACTTTTATCATTTTCTTGTTTTGTCACTTTGTTGAAGTGAATAGAACCAGGAGAACATTGTACACAGTAATAGCTATGTTGTGTGATGACTAATGTTGCTAGACTTAGCCCTTCTCAGCAATGCAAGGATCTAAGACATCCCCAAAGGCCTCATAATGGAAAATGCTATCCACATCCAAAGAAAGAACTATGGAGTTTGAATGCAGATCAAAGCAGACTATTTGCTATTTTTTTCTACCTCTTTTCTTTTGGTTCCTCTTTCTGGTGGTTCCTCCTGTTGGTTCTAATTCTTACAACATCACTAATGTGAAAATATGTTTAATAGGAATGTATATGTATAGTCTGTATCAGACTGCATGCTGTCTTGGGGAGGGAGGAGGAGAAAAATTTAAAATTCAAAAGCTTATGGAAGTGATTGTTGATAAATCAAAATAAAATAATAAAAAAAATTTAAATAAATAAATTAATAAAAATCACAGGGTCCACCTCACCACCCTTTGGTGATGATCACCTCTCCACCTCGATGCCTGGTATTCTGGATGAGCCCTCAAGGAATTGTGAGAAATAACTTATTTGGACTCAGGAGGGATTAAGGTAAAAACCCAGTTTATTACTCCTTTGCAAAAGCGGGTGTCCTATTGAATAGGCACCACCGCCAAAGTAAGAGTTTCCTATTTATCTCTAATCCCTGCCACAAAGTCCCTCCTCTGTTTCCTCATTGACTGAGTACTCCAGAGGGTACACCTTTCCCATACGCTTATTACACATCTACCCCTTGATGTGTCTTTCCGCCTTCTACATGCATCTCATGTTTAGAAAAGGCAGCCTTAGCCCAGCCTGCAAGTGGAGAAATTAGTATTCATGAGCCTGATAAGCATGTGCACTGTAAGCAAAGCTTAACCTTTGTCTTACTGACTTCTAACAGCAAAACAATCCCATTTTACTCAGTTACTTTCAGCGATTGTTTCAATTTTATGGAACCTTTTGTTCTACTTAACTAACTTCTAACAGCAAAACAAGATAAGACCAGCTGTATCCTGCTTTACTTAGTTACTTTTCTAGCTGTTTTGCTCCACATTTATGGGAACAAACATTTTTGTTCAATTTCTCACTGCTCCCTAGGATGGGGGCATATGGGACTGGGGTTGTAGAAAGATCACTGGCTGCAGGGTACCCTGAGAAAAGGTGCTTGAGGCCCCCAAAAGAGCAGGTGACCCCTGTAGGTGGGCCCCCAGTGGGAAGGGCAGGGCAAGGGAAGGCAAAAGAAGCCTGGCTACCCCTTGAGTTTCTCCAGTGTGGCTTCCTGCAATCGCTTGGCTTTTGCCCTGCGATTCCCAAACCAGCTCTGGATCTGCGTCTCGGACAGGCTCAAGGAGCTAGAGAACTCCGCTCGCTCTATAGCCGAGAGATACTGTTTCTGTTGGAATTCTGTTCTAAGGCCAGCCGTTGTGCCGTCGTGAAGGGCATCCAAGGCTTTCGCTTGCTCTTGTGTTTTCGGGGGGTGCGCGATGGGAGACTGGAGGGTCCTGTGGGATAGAAACAAACACAGAGAAGCTACTTGGCATCCAATGACTCGGGCTACAGGCGCTGCAGATTCTGGGTAACAGCTCGACTGACAATTCTGTCCTCCAGTTTCACTGTTAGGACTCTAACTTTGCTGTAGCTGTCACTGGGAGGGCTGGCAGGGGAGCAACACAATTAGGGGCAGCCTAGGTGGTGAGAGAGAAGAAGAGAGAAGAGAGAGAGAAGAGGGAAAGAGAGGAGAGAAGAGAAGAGAAAGAAGAGAGGAGAACAGAGAAAGAGAAGACAGAGAAGAGAGGAGAAAGAAGAAAGGGAGAAGAGAGAAAGAGGAGAAAGAAGAAAGAGAAGAGAAGAGGGAAAGGGAGAAGAGAGAAGAGAGAAAGACAAGAGAGAAGATAGAGAGAAGAGGGAAAGACGAGAGAAGATAGAGAAAAGAGAGAAGAAGAGAAGAGGGAAAGAGAAGAAAGAGAGAGAAGAGAGAACAGAGAACAGAGGAGAGAGGAGAAAGAAGAGAGAAAGAAAAGAGAGAGGAGAGAGGAAGAAGACAGACTACAGAAAGAAGAGAGAGGAGAAAGGAGAAAGGAGAGAGAGAGAAAAGAGAGAGGGAGAGAGAAAGCAATCAGATAAGTCACAACTTAGAAGATGCTGAAACATAATATAATAATTCATTTTGAAGTTAAATTTTTTCCTTGAACAAGTTTGCAAGATTTGATTCAACAGCTGACAAGCCTGTTCTTCAATTTGGTTCTGCATCAACTTGATTTAATAACAACTCATTGATAACAATAACTAGCATTTCTATAGCACCTACTATGTGCCAGGGATTAAGTGAATGCCTGACAGATATTATCCCATTTAATCCTCAGAAAAACGTGGTGGTAGATCCCTATCATTCCTATTTTACAACTGGGGAAAAAGTGGCAGGTGGGAGGTTAAATGACTTGAGCAGGGTCACAGTGCTTGTCAGCATCTGAGGTGGGATTTGAACTCAGGTTTTGCTGACTGCTAAGCCCAGTGTTCTCTCCACTGCACCACCAGCTATATCTTGATTTACACCAGAATACAGCAAAAAATGCTCACTCATATATGGATAAAATAGAAAAATGGCAGAAGAATTTAACAAGCTCTCTTGCTGAGATGGAAATTCATTTTTTGTTTTATTCCTGAAAACAGTCAACAAAATGAACTGCCAGCCACCATGTCAAAGATTTACTTTCCCCTCGGCTACTGACAAGTAGTTATTGAGCTGTAAGTTCACTTGAAGTCCCTTTGCATATATTGCTTGCTTTCCTGGCATGGCACTGGCACACTGTCCGGGTTTCATGGGCATACAACAATGAAGCCAGCACAATGGCCCCGCAGAACTTCAGTTTGGTAGGCAGTCCAGTGCCTCCTCTCCCACATTTTCTTTCAGAGCCTCTCAAACTCTAAGCTGTCTCTGGCAATGCAGGCTTTAAGCTCATAGAATCTATGTGGACCCCTGGAAAGCATACTGCCAAGGCAAGTGAACTTCAGTACAGCATTCAAAATTTCTCCATTTGTTGTAATCAGTGATTCCACATTAGGATGGCATGGTGCTGGCTGGTAGAGGACTTCTGTTTTCTTGGTGTTAATTTTAAGCCAAAATTAGAACAAGCAGCAGAGAATTGATCCATACTCTGTTACATCTCAGCCTCAGAGGCTGTACTTAGTGCACAATCACGTGTGAACAAAAAGTCCCATTTACTGTCCCTCTGCTTTAGTCTTGGCTTGTAGCCTTTTCAAGTGAAATAATTTACCAGCCTTGTGGTAACTGATCTTGAAGGCAAAGGTACTAGGGTGGTTTTGCCATTTCCTTTCCCAGCTCATTTTATGGATGAGGAAACTGAGGCAAACAGGGTTAGGTGCTTTCCCCGGGGTCACACATCTAGTAAGTGTCTGGATTTGAACTCAGGTCTTCCTGACTGTAAGCTTGGTGTTCTATCTTCTACATTACTTAGCTGCTTTAATGGCACAAGATGGAATCAATATTCAAGAGACAGAATTCAGCGAGTTCTCTCACTTCTTATACCAAACCAACTCCCAGTTTGTAACTGGCCTTCATTCTGTCTAATCCAAGTACTTTCATCTTCCATGACCTTCTGCCTGTAAGAAAGTAATTACATGGAATTGTGAGAAGATGGTGGAATAAGGCATAAAACTACCTGGTTCTTCCAAATCCCCGCTCCCAATAACTTAAAATACTGACTCAAAGTAAATTTTACAGCAGCAGAAATATTCAAAGTCAGGGGAAAGCATCCATCTGGACTAAGACACCTTGAGAGGACTTTAAGATCTGACCTCCCAGGGTGGTGGTCGGGCCTCACTGAAGCACAGTTACCTCCAGGCAGATGCTATCGAGTAAACAAACAGTAACCACTGGGGCAGCTGTGTAGACAGCAGGCTTCATGTAGGGAGTTTGTGTCCCCTGGATGTTGTGGGGGTGAGACTGATCAGGGGAAGACTGTGGGACCCTCTGCTAACACAGGATACGTGGCCCAGGCTCACTGACCATTTGTGGTCCCAGGCTGTATTTGCAGGTGAGGAGGAGTGAGTGGATTCACATTGGTGAGTGAGCAAAGGTGCAGGGGTCCTGCTGGTTGTAGTCACTGAGAGAAGGGCAGAATCCCTGGTTTTGGTTCCAGGGCAGCAGGGCATGGAATATAATATTCCAAATAACAAAGGAGCTGGGTTTGCAACCAAGCTTTACTGCCTATCCAGTAAAGCTAAGTACAAGGGAAAAAAGGATATTTAATGAGCTAAAAGACTTTCAGGTTTTCTTGAGGAAAAGACCAGAACTGAACAGAAAACTTAGCACTATAAGAAGATAAACATGGAAGTGATTTGATGAGGTTAAACTGTTTAGCTCTTATACTGTAAAATGATATGTATAACTTCTAAGAATGTTATCATTATAAGGGTAGTTTAAAAGAGAATACATAGATAAGAAGGCTTGTGGTTAATTATGATGGGATGATCCTAAAAAAATAAAACTGGAAGGGGAGAAGTAAAATGGAGAAAATTATTTCATACAGAAGAGGTGTGAATGGAAGAATTGGCACAGTGGAGGGGAAAACAAGGTGGAGGGTGGGTATTACAAGAATCTTATTCTCATTGGAACTGGTTAAAGAGGGAATAACACATACACTTAGTAGGATTTAAGAGTCTTCTTAACTTACAGAGAAATAGGAAAACAAAGGGATAGGACAATGGAGAGCCTCTTAGAAGGGGAGGGATAGGTTAAAACAGAGAGAGGATAAACAGTGAGAAAAAATAGGATAGAGGGAAATACGCAACTAGTAATTATAACTTGGAATGGGAATGGAATAAGCTCTTCCACAAAATTGAAACACAGCAAAATGGATTGAAAACCAGAACCTGATAATATGTAGTTTATAGAAAACACATTTTTAAAAATGAGAGACACACATAAAGAACAAATAAAGAGCTGATGTTTAAAAAAAAAAGCAAGTTAGCAATCATGATCTGAGTTAAAGCTAAAATAGATTTTTAATTAAATCTAAAGAGATAAGCAGGGAAATCACATTATGTTGAAAGGTACCATGGATAATGAAGTAATATCAATACTGAACCTATGTGCACCAAATGCTATGGCATCCAGATTTTTAAAGGAAAAGCTAAATGAATTACAGGTGGAAATAAGTAGCACAACTACAACAGTGAGAGATTTCAGCCTTGCCCTCTCAGAACTAGATTAATCTAATAAAAAAAATTTAGTAAGAAAGAAGTCAAGATGAATAGAATCTTAGATAAGCTAGATAGGATAGCTCTCTGGAGAGAACTGAATGAAACTAGGGAGGAATATACCTTTTCTTTGTACAGGGTACCTGTACAAAAACTGACTGTACAGTAGGCTATAAAAACTTTATAGTTAAATGCAGAAATTAAAAGCAGAAATATTAAATGCATCTTTTCCAGATCATAATGCAACAAAAATTACATTTAATAAAGGACCATGGAAACACAGATTACAAATTAACTGGAGACTAAATAATCTAATCTTAAAGAATGAGTGGGTTAAAGAATAAGTCATAGGAGCCATGTTATTAAAGAGAATTATAATAATGAGACAACATATCAAAGTTTGTGGGATGCAGCAAAAGTGGTAATTAGAGAAAAATGTATACCCCTAAAAGCTTACATCAATAAAACAGAGAAAGAACAGATCAATGAATTGAATATGCAATTTATAAAACTAGAAAAAGAACCAAGTAAAAATCCTAATTTAAACACCAAATTAGAAATCTTGAAAATTAAAGGTGAGAGTAATAAAACTGAATGGAAGAAAACCATTGAATTAACAAATAAAATTAGGAGTTGGTTTTATGGGGGGGGGAAAACTAATAAAATAGATAAACCATTTGCTAGTATGATTTTTTAAAAAGAAGAAAACCAAATTACTAGTACCCAAAATGAAAAGGGGGAATATTGCATTAATGAAAATGAAATTAAAGCACTTATTAAGAGTTATTTTGCCCAATTACATGCCAATAAATTTAACAATTTAAGCAAAATGGAAGAATGCTTACAAAAACATCAACTGCCTAGAACAGATTAACAGAAGAGCAAATAAGAGAATCTAAATCAACCTGTTTTAGAAAAAGAAACTGAACACACCATAAATGAGCTTCCTAAGACAAAAACATCAGGACCAGATGGAATTATAAATGCCTTCTATCAAACATTTAACGATCAACTAATTCCAATATTAAATAAATTATATGGAATAACAGGCAAAGGAGTCCTACCCTACTCCTTCAATGAAACAAATAGGGAGGGTGCTGATGCCTAAACCACAAAGAGCAAAAACCAAACAAGAAAATTACAGACCAATTTCACTAATGAACATAGTTGCAAAAATCCTAAATAATAAAATAGCGAGGAGACTACAACAATATAGCACAAAGATTATACGTTCTAACTACTTGGGTTTTATACTAGAAATGCAGGGCTGGTTCAATATTTA